TTCTGTTCCATTATTAGTCACAAAGGCAGTGTGCTGAATAATTTCCTTTGTTTGTGAAACTGCCACAACAATAGAAAGAAAAGAACATCTTGCAAAAGAAAAAAGGGCTTAAAAATAATTTTTAAAAACCTGTGCAACTCAGACCTTACTCAGATACTCAATCTACATTTCCATGAATTAAATACTAAATACTTTGCGGAGTTAGAAGTATCACTTTACATTACTTCAAAAATACATAAATGAACAATGAAAGGTGGAAGAGACCTAAAAATAATATGGCCATATATTTTCTGCTTTAATGTCACTTCCATGTCATACAGTGAATAATCTACATATTAGAATATCTTAAAGAGAGTTTTTCTTCAGTTACAGCTCAGTATCGTAAACACTTACCACAAGTCTGTCTCATCTGTACAAACAGAACCTGAAAACATCCTTAATTAAAACAGTAGTACATCTAACAACAGCCAATTCCAAGTTAGACTAGCAGTCTAGCTACAGTGCACTACACAGCCAAAAAAGATACATTTTTCTGAAGTCTCATCTCAAAATCCCTAAATTCTTTTATGTCCATAGCAAATAACCAAAGGAACAACTTAACATAACTCTCATGACTCTCAAAAACATCTGTGTGTTAGGAAAATAGCCAACAAAAAGGCAAACCTTTAACTGAGTAATTGCAGAAAAACCCTGCCATCTTCTCCTGCTGTCAAGAACCCCAAGTGACTAAACGAAACGACTCAGTCACTACTAACTAAAGTAAGCAGGACTCTTCTTTCCTTAGCCAAGTCTTCAATTTGTATTGTCAGACAAGAAGTAAGAATTTGAATATGTGAATGTACATAAAATAAACTTGCATTAAATAATAGAAGTAAACAAGAAGTTCATTTATAATAAAAACAAAAGTATCTTTTTCCTTTTTCCAATTTCCAGAATTCAGCAATGTGTAAATACAAAACCACACAAACAGCTCAACCACTTTGCTATGTTAAACATAGGAGTCACACATTTCAGCACTGTATTACCAAGCTTCTGTAATAACCAAACATACTTCTTTAAAGTTCTTTTCTATAGCTGGAAAGTGACTTGTTCTATATTTTGCAGCTATTAGATGTTCTAGGACACCCCTCCCCTCCATATTTACACATTTAGAAGCCGTCTCTATTCTAAAATACATACAAATTAGTTTTTAAGGCATTCCAGAAAAGCTTATCAGTCGTCTTACTCCTGACCAGCTCTTTGCAGATTCTTCTCAAAAATGTACAAATCTGCTAAAAGGAAATCGAACAAAAAGTACTGTAAACCTTCTTGTGCAGACTAGAAGTGGACCCACCACAGTCTATCTTGGGCAACTATGAAGCTGTAACAACATTATGTGACATGGGAGCAGGCCCTGTGCTAGACAATTGCTACACCTTTCGTTAGCAAATTCGAGTTCTGTATTGATACTATATTGGTATTATATTTACACTAGAATTCAGATAATCTCAGATATTCAATAAGCTTTGTAACTGGTACTTGCAAATCTTTGAGTCTTAGAAAGCTAAAAATAAATCCACAAACCGAATTTGTTTTATTTATTTCAGTGGAAGCACTGTTAACATCAAAGATATTTTAATGATGCTTTTAAATGAAAATGCAACTGTTTTAAATGAAAACGTAACTGTTTGCAGTCCCAGTACTGCAGCCTAGAATACCTTAAAAATTGAAGATAATGAACGTAAAGAAAAAAAAAACCTCCATGGTTCTGGTTAATTTGAGAAGCGCAAAACTAAAAAAAAAAGAAAAGCGAGGTTTCAAATAATTTTCATTTTAATAGCTGAATATTCTTAGAGCAGACATTTCCTTTTTAAGCTTTGGGTTTTGTTTTTACAGTTAGGCCTTCATATATAGATAAAAAGTTGTCATTAAATAATTTGAGCTAATTTGGTGTGGTCACATATAGCCCTGCAGACCTTTCTGGTCCCTTTCCACATTTCATCATCTGATACCCTGAGGTACCTACTTTCCTAGTAAAAATGAATGTGAAGGCAAGAAAAAGACAATTTAGGAATGTGTTACTTTGCTAACCAGAAAGAAAAATTAATCAGCAGCAACAGGTGTTCTTCAAGTCGTATAATCCCCATATAAATTCTAATTACCCCCCATCACTTGAAAACGGAAAGTTTTCCTGTGCATTATTCATAGGAGACACATGCTCGCTTGCTTGCTTTTCCCTTTTCCCTATTCAGTACAGGACCAATAAGATGGAACATCACTGTTTATCATATTAGTCGCTTCTCAACAACAATGTACTTGGAAAGATTAGGAGAAAGACGGACAGACAAACAAAGCACAAATGTACACTGGGCATCTCTAAGAACTCTGGTTACTTATGCTGGCTATTTACTACTAATCTTTCTTTCAGAGATTCCACACAGGTACTCTAACTACAGTCACCTGGCAGTCACAGTTACCTACCGTCACCTGGTAGAAAGCATCGGAGGCTTTCAGGCAAACAGCAAATGCAGAAGCATTTTGTGAAACACTGCACCAACTCTCAAAGCCTCATAGGTAGCACTCGATGAAAATGAGTGAATGAATGTTAGGAGTGCCAGGGTGTACTCTCCTGGTGCCACACAGACATCAGTGAAAAAGGAGAGGGAGACAGTGCAAACTTACCCAGCACCAGACAAGACTATAGGGAATTATCCTTGCGTTAATGTGAATACTTAATTTGTCCATCAAACTTCCACAGTGAGCTCACGGACCAAAAAAGGCTTAAGTTTCACAGCACAGCCAAGAGATGGTGAAGAGGAAGACCTCTATGCCATCAAACTTTTCAACTCAATCCTGTATAAGCTTGAAATGAGTACCCAGTGGCATTAAGGAGGGAGCTGGAAGGTCTGATTTGACCAGCTCCAGACTGCTAGCAGACACGAATTCTCCACTTGGAAAGGCCTTCCTGTTCTGAGGAGGTCAATACAGATCTTGAGTGTGCACTCTGATCCTGGCAAACAAACAGGCCTGGACAACTGGCAAATAAAGTAATCCTTAGGAGGCTGGCCACTGGTCAGACAATAAAAACATCTTGAATGTGTATCAGATGATGTAAAGTCTTAGATAAAGCAACTGAAACACTACATGACTGGAAGAGCTGTAGCACAATGACAAGCACCTTCTGCTTTATACGTACGCCTCAAGTAGGGAGACAGGACAGACAAGAATGCATCCGCTCCACACACTACAATGAGAAATTTGTCAGTAACACAGCTGGGCACAGGGGCACACAAGGTTAGAATACACATGGAAACTCATATGAAGAAAAAAGGAACCCGATATATTGCAGGTATAAATGGCACTAAGAGGATACTTTTCTTTTAATCACACTTAGCCCTAGGCTAATTTATAACCACCAATGCTAAAACACAGGTTCCATGCAACTGTTGTTAACAAAAAGTTTATAATATCACAATGACAAACAGAGTTTAGAATCTAATGTTTAAACATAAGACAGAACCTTAAAAAATCCAAATGCACGTCTTTTCAATTTAGCTTCCCAGCGATAACATTAAAAATCATGCAGCACTGCCTCCAAGAATGCAGAAACATTGTTTTTCTTAAAATCACTACAGTACCCTGAAATAAATAGGGATTAGCAAGATTAATAGATTTTGACACTTTATCAGTAGGCTTCCTGAACTTCCAATGAGTTTCATAATTCAGAAAGAAAAACAGAGCCTATTACAGGAGGAATACAGAGTACTGTGTGTACTTATTTATCCACCAAGAGAAAAACAGAGACAGCATAAAGAAGTTTTTTATTAAAAAGAAAACCAAAACAAACAACAAAACCCACCAAAACTTAAAAAGGAAAAAGTAACCTCCCCTCCAAAATGAGAAAGAAGTCATTAAAAAAGCAAGAATTAAATGATTCACAGTTTTAAAAAGCAGAAAATTGTTTTTAATTACAATACTGTCAAACCACACACAACACTCAATTATTCTTTTAATAGATATTTGGAAAAGATGACTTGTGACCGTAAAGCTATTTTTCATCTTAACTGGTAGACTTAATTCTGAGGTTAGGAGATACTAAGTAAATGTTTCAAAAAACCCTGATTTTACCAAAACCTTTAAGGGAATGCAATGGAAACTAAGCTTTATTTAGAGGCCAAACAAAATTTCTTCCTACCAAGTACAATGTGGTTTGACAATACTATTCAGCCAGTCTAACACTTAGTTGTTGTCAAAAGAGTGTTGCAGCCCTCCTCCTCTCCCACCACATCTTCTTACTCTTTTCATTTTGAAAGCATTGAGACTCTTCTGACCTAACAGTGGGTTAAGATTGGCTTTCAGATCAGAATATAGAGATTCAACAGCAATGCCACAGAAAGGAGCATAGGGCTGGCAAAAGGGACAGGAAACACAACTGTATCTAGTCATTGTATCAGCTGAGCTGTTCTGTCAAACTCCAAAGTCAGTCATTGTAGCTCAGCTTTAAACCTGTAAAAGTCCTCTCTTGAGCACAGCTCTGTTTCATGCTCTGTCAATTACTGCTTTCATTATTGATTCAGTTGTTTTCAAAGAAGTTCCAGTCATCAGGATCTCAACTGAAAACATAGGCAGGGATTGCCAGTCCATTACATCAGTTGTTTAAAATATCCCCACAAATTTCTATTACTACTAAAAATCAAATAATCCTACAAATATCTGAACAAAGCAAAGATCAAAGTTTTTGTGGTTTCCCATCACAGCTGAACAACATTAACAACTTCCATGTAACTCAGCGAATACCGGAAGAGCACATTTTTCCTTCTTGTGAAAAACCAAATTTTATTTTGGGATTTCACATTTCTTTTTTTTCTTTTTTTCATTGACAGTGTCAGCATCAAAAGATTTTGCAACACAAAGATGCAACACAAAGATCCAGAAAATGTAGGATTGTAACATCAGGTAGCAGATTTCTCACCAGTACTATTCACAAGATAAGAAGTTCACTTTCACAAATCATTGCTTACCTTTTCTAATGCAGATTAGCTCATGTACACCGCAAGTTCGTTCTCCACCTATGCGGAAATAAATAATTAGAAAATAGGAACAAACAAAATGTATTTGGCTTCTTAATAAGGCTTATAAACAGTGTAAAAGAAAAAGCTGTAAAATCATGTCATTTAATAAAAATGCAAAAGATTGATTTAATAAGTTTACAATTTGTACATGATATCCTTTGGAGAAAGCAAGAAATGTAACTTTGGCTTAATATTGCTAATGATGGAGCAGTTTGCAGAGTTTTACAATTTATACAGATAAAATTACAAACGCAAGCAAATTAACTGAAGCCACACTAATATTTCCCAAGTATAAAGCATAATTTCCTGTTCTGAGGAAACTACTATCTACAGAAGAATTCTCAAAATATCAAAAATATTTGTCAATAATAGAATGCCAAAATAACATTATGATTATCTTCCATGGTAAAAAAAAGAGAAAGTCTGTCACTAAAGGCTGGGTTTACTTGGAATTTCTCTTTAAAGAGGTTTTTAATTAAAAAAACAGCTGTACAGAATTTGAGACATTTATATGAGAATAACAAAATTGTTGCTAGAAATATTAAGCTTCATTTTATATTTTAATAAAAAACATTCTAATGTTAGAGTTACAGCTAGTAAACAAAACACCAACACGTAATATATCTAGCGAGGACAATGAAGGAATCCACAAAGGAAGAACACATTCAGACAACCACGTTGAAAGAGGAAGCTGCAATACAAGGACAGGACATGAAACAAGCTATTGCTAAGCCTTGTAGAGGGAGGAACAGGCAGGTATAAACTGTTGAAGCGATTCCTTTAATGCTATCTAGAAATTATGGGAAGAGTTGATTTTTTTTTAAATTATGATTACCTTATACTGAATACATTTACAGTATTCATGATCCTATTCTCTCTTAAATGAATATATTTTGGAATGATACACCCCATGGTCAAACCTTAAAAGTTCCACACTATGCCAAGCTATGGCCAATCTTAACCATACACTAATGCCCACTCAGCCTTTTTCCACTGACAACAAAAGACTGCATGTATATGAACACAGAACTGAAGGGAACTGCCTAGGTTTTCATGCCCAGTTGTCTGCAATCTCATGAAAATACAAAACAGACAGTCCCAAAAACTCACAAAACCTCTATTCCATATGCATTAATCATTACTGGCCTCCAAACTCTTCACAACACACTAGATAACAAAATTCTTTCCACCTCAAAAATGTGGAAATATAATATACAGCACTTATTACTCTCCTTCATTCCATAATAAAGGAAATATGCCATATAATAAAGGATATTATGATACAATATCAGCTAATATTTAAAACTCATAATTGGTAACACTAACAGATGGTGTTGTAAAAGTTTTAAGATACCTGTATTTGTAGTTAAATGTAGAATCATAGAATCATTTATGATGGAAAAAACCTTTAAGGTTGTCAAGTCCAACCGTTAACCTCACATGTCCAGTTCACCACTAAACCACGTCCCTAAGGACCACAACTACACATCTTTTAAATACCTCCAGGGATGGTGACTCCACCACCTCCCTGGGGAGCCCATTCCAATGTTTAACGACTCTAACAGTGAAGAAGTTCTTTCTAATGTCCAGCCTGAACCTCCCCTGGCGCAACTTGAGCCCATTTCCTCTTGTCCTATCGCTAGTTACTGGGGAGAAGAGACTGACCCCCACCTCGCTACACCCTCCTTTCAGGTAGTTGTAGAGAGCGATCAGGTCTCCCCTCAGCCTCCTCTTCTCCAGGCTGAACACCCCCAGCTCCCTCAGCCGCTCCCCATCGGACTTGTGCTCCAGGTCCTTCACCACCATCGCTGCCCTTCTCTGGACT